AGCTGTGTTGTCGATGCTGTAGGGTCTTTAGCTTCATATACACACATGACGATATACAAGTTAATTATAGGATGTGCTATGTTGATTGGCAGCTGACTTTGGATGACTCTAGTTGTAGATTATTAAATCATGTTTTACATCGAGTTACTTATGAACAAAAGAGAGTAGTTTCAAATTCATTTGCTTTCTGAAGTTTCTTCTTTATCATTGTGGGCGTGTCGTGCAGTGTATTGTTGTTTGTAGTCTAGGAGTATAATGAACAAAATATAATTGTGCTTTCTGTCTATAATCACATGTTTCTAGCATCAATGCTTGTATGTAGCAAGAGAGGAGGATGCGCTTAAGTAGCATGGATGGGAAAGCTTGTTTCAAACATTTTGTGCTTTGCATTCCTCTATAGTCTATAATGTGTCCATTTCATCAAGTTAGTTGCTATAATGTTTTATGCCAAAAGAAGAAAAAAGTATGAGCTCTCAATTGTGAAACTAGAACCCTCAAGGTTTTATGACTCGACACCTGGAATTTATTATTTGTTGATGACACTTGAAATGGCTGTCCCTTGTTCCCATATGTAATGGGGTAAGGGGGAGGTAAGATAGTAGGCATTGCCTTCCTAGTCAAATTTATAAATCATAATTTCCCTTATATTTGCAGGAGTCTATTTTAGCTATTAGCTTTAGCAACAAGGGATCCAGATACATATGTTCAGGGGGAAGTGGTCAAGTTGTAAGAATATGGGATTTGCAGCGGAAGAGTTGTATCAAGTGGTTAAGGGGTCATACCAGCTCAATAGCTGGTGTTATGTACAACTGCAAAGACGAACATTTAGCCTCCATCAGCCTTAGTGGGGATCTAATACTTCACAACCTTGTTTCTGGAGCAAAGGCTGCTGAATTAAAAGATCCTGATGCACAGGTTGTTTAGTTTGTTGCATTTGGGTGCTTATGTTAAGTTCTTATTCTTGTTTGCTAGCTAATTTTCCTTTGGTGGATTTTAAGACCAGGAACTAAAGGTGCTTGATTATTCGCGGATTAGTCGACACATTTTAGTGACTGCAGGTGATGATGGATCTGTTCATTTATGGGATACCACTGGTCGCAGCCCTAAGGTTCTCTTCTCTCTGTCTGCCTTAATATTCTTGATGTTTAAAACATATATGTAATCCACTGGCTGTTACAGGTTTCTTGGTTGAATCAGCATTCTGCTCCCACAGCTGGCATTAGTTTCTCACCCTCCAATGATAAGGTCTCATTATTTCCTTTTTATTTCTTCTTTTCATTCTTTCTGGATTAGTTAAAGGAATAGACTGACCTTTTCTAGAAGGTTGAGATGAAGGAACTTTTCTATGGTTAAGACATCTTTAAAAAAAATAGTTAAATATTTTCACATGTCAAGTCCCTTTTTCCTTTTTGACAGATAATTGCTAGTGTTGGGTTGGATAAGAAGCTACACACTTACGATTCAGGGTCTAGAAGACCGTCAGCTTTCATTTCATATGAGGCACCTTTTTCTTCATTGGCATTTAGAGATGATGGTTGGACACTGGCAGCTGGCACCGGTAATGGTAGAGTGGTATTCTATGATATCCGGGGAAAACTACAGCCTTTCACTGTTCTTCGTGCTTATAGTATAGTTCAGAGGTTGGTTATCTTTTGCTCTATGCATCTCTTTTTAATTTAAAAAGAGACCCAGGCCATGATAAGTTCTTGTAGTTTGCACTTGCTTTCAATTTTCCCATAAGAATCTAAACTTGATATATAATTTTGAAGGGTATGTGTATAAAGATGATGTTCTGTAATGAAACTAATGACATAATGGGCTGTCTCTGCTAGCTTGTTTGTGGTCTAACCTCAAAGTGTTTTGTGTAAATGAAATGTAGTAAGCTTTAGTCCTTTAATCATCCTAATTGTTTATAGCATCTATCAGGATGTTTCAACTTTCAAGTTTATGCTGACAAAGATCAAAACCAGCCATTGTTAATGAGAGTACTTGCACTGCTGAGACTGCTCTTTTGGGAGGTGCAATGGAGGATTCAGTTCTTATGCCCGACCCGCTTCCATCTGTGACATCATCAAGCCTTACATTGTCTACAGCAGTTTATGCTTTGATTTACAAGTAGTAAATCAGCCTGTTATCGAGGTCTGATTCGTTGACTGCAGCGGAATTCGGGAGTTCTTCCAACAATGAATGTATGCAACCTGGTTTGGTTAAATAATTGCTCCTTTCTACATTTAATTTCTCTATATCCGTTTGCAATATTATGCTTTCATTTATGCATTGGATTGCTGAAGTCATCCATGATGAAGGAATTTTAAGAATCTCTATGATTTCATAGTTTTCTTCTGTCATGACGGTCATTGGTTCTGACTATATATATAATAGGGAGGAACATTACAAACCCACAAAGCTCCTCAACAAGACCCCCAACAAGGAAGTAACTTTACTCTTCAGCTATTTCAACGTACTCTCGAAGAAACCCTCGATTCATTCCAGAAATCCATTCATGGGGACATGAGGAACCTACATATCGAAATATTACGACAATTTCACATGCAGGAGGTATTTGCCTATCATCCTCTATTTTTGTTTTTGATATTGCTTTCACTTACATGTTATGTTCCTCAGCTCTAATTTTTTGTGGAAATCGTTCTATAGACGGAGATGTCCCGTGTGATGAGCTCCATAAGACAGAACCAGGCGGAACTGATGGAAGAGGTCAAGTCTCTCCGGAAAGAAAATCAGCAGCTGCGTCAATTGCTTTAAGTGCCTGGTTAAACAGCATTACCATGTCAGGTTAGTGAATACCTCTTCTGTTTCATGAGGAAGCTTGTCTCGTGTTAGATTAAAACTGGTAACGGATGTGGAGCTGAGATTTTTATTATTCCGAATCATGTATAGTAATGAAGTTTTTAATAGGGTTGTCTTACCACGACTTAAAACTGTTAAAGGAAAATCTAAAAAATAATTTATTTTTTTAGTAAATTATATATAGAGTTAATTTCTCCAAACTACAACTTTCATTTTAAATTGGTCCTTAAACTTTTGAATATTTCAATTTCATCCCCAAACTATGACTCGTTCTAAATTAGTTCTTAAACTTTTGATTATTCTAATTTCATACCTAAACTATGTTCCTCTTTCTAAATTGATCCCTAAACTTTTGACTATTCTAATTTCATACCTAAACTATGATCCTCTTTCTAAATTGATCCCTAAACTCTTGACTATTCTAATTTCATCCCCAAATTCATACAAATATGTAATTAGTTTCAATCATATTTTAACCTAAATTTTGATTTATTCTAACATAAAATAATATAACTTGGTTTAACGATTTTATTAACAAGGGATATGATTAGTATGTATGTATAGTTTAGGATGAAATTAGAATGTTCAAAAAAATTAGGGACCAATTTAGAATGAATATCAATGGTGAATTTAAAAGATTCAAATATGTGTCCGATAATGAAAGATTGTATAATTTATCATTTTTTATAAAATACTTTAATCTAAACTCACACACGCAGACTACACTACTCGAACCCATATTATTGAAGGAAAACAAATTTTCCTTTAAACACGAAAACAAAAACAAAAACGATCAAACACGAAAATGATCGAACTGTTAAATACAAGATAGTTGATAATTCATCATATTACAAATAAAAAAATTACTGCAGATAAGTTACAAAAATATTACACATTTCACACCAATGATTATCATACGTGGTTGAAAAACAGAAAACGACCCTCAGGTTCGCAGAAAACTGAGATTCCACACTTGTGTTGGAGTGAAAAAAAAAAGGACTTTAATAATATAAAAAAAGAACAAATGCAATGTGATTAAACATGCTTTACTACTTAATTTTACCTGGAAGATCACATGACGATCTCCGGCTTCAGAATGCTGGATTTGATCTCTTTGCGAGGCAAAACCACGCCGCTGTTGCCGTAAATTTCGTCACATACGTGAACATCTTCCCCGAGAATAGTCATGTTTTCTACTCTAGCCCATTGGCCGACGGTGGAGTGCCATCCGATTATGCTGCTGGATATGCAAGCGTGTTTCTTGATGCGGACTCCACGCATCACGGTGCAGCGAGAGAGTCTGACTCCGGACTCAACAAACGCAGCCTGGGCCAATCGCCACATCGGGTCCGATCAAACATCCTTCTCCGATTTTTGCGGTCTCGTGAACCAAAACATTTCCCACAATGTTAAGGACAAAAAACAGTTCACCAGACTCGTCAACGAGCTTGTCCCTAGCCAAAGCAAGGGGACCAGCAGTGCCGAGCGGCTCTGTCTCTTGAGAGCATGTGATAGTGATCCCTAGTTTAGCTTCAAATTCCTTCAAGAAGTTCAACATAACCTACAAAATCAAAGTGGCACTCGTCAGCCTATGAACACTTAAGCCATTAAACTTTCAGACCGTTGCATTAAATTTTACACATGAAAACCCAATGTACCTCAGGTTGGTAGTTAATTGCCAACACAATTTCAGTTACACCAACAGCCTTGAGAGCCTCGATCTGCAAAACATCAGACGAAACATTATTCCACAAAATGAACAAACTTGCCTTGAGAAAACAACAATCATAGTTCAGAAGTATACCTGATGCAGGATCATGGGTTTATTAGAGAATTCAACAAGCGGCTTAGGAACACTAAGAGTCAAGGGCCTCAACCGTGTTCCGAACCCTCCAACAAGAATAAGTACCTTCATTGTGATATACCTTCAGTTTTTACCTGTTGATAATACATGTCAGTATCTTAAGCAGCAGTCCAGTTCAGATCCAATTAGCAAAGCAACTTGAGAAATGCTTAATACCAAAAACTCTTCTGCTTATACATGACAAGAAAGGGGAAAGAACCAAACACTAAAACACACGCTATAAGCCAAAATATAATTTTCAAAGCTAAAAGCAATTCTCTGACACTCTGTTGTTTCTTATGAAGGAAACAGAAGAAAAAGGAAGCAAATACTTTCTTTCTTTCCTTCTTACTAAACACATTGATGGGCATGAATCTAGAACGAAATCCAGCCATTGAGTAACCCCTGCTTCAAGCAATGACAAGTGGTTTAAGCTACTTTATATTTTCTTTATCTTTCTTTTTAATCCTTTCCAAGGGAAAAGAAATGGATTTCTTTATTAAAAAACACTTATTTAAATGGAGCCATAGAAAACAGAAAATCGCTACAAAACCCACACCAGAATACAAATTTTCAACTAGAAGCATTTGAATTTGACAATTCAAAGTACGAAATCAAAACTTGGCCGAAAAGAATCAGCCAAGTCAGTCTTGATCTGGCGACATGGAAATTCTTGACATTTACAAAGTATTTGACAACAAACACAACAAAAAGAAATGAAAAACTTCAGTCAAAACCGTAACCAAAGCTAAAATGGTGAGTAAGCATTAATTAAGACTAGAATGAGATTAAGTAAACTAACTTAAATTCCCTGCTGTTCTTCTTAAATTTAACCGTGTAAACAATCAGATCTAACAAAATACAACATTGCAAATCAAATCAAACCTCAAAATTCATACCGAAAACGTGCTAATAGGAACGAAATCGAAACAAAAACAAAAGAACAACGAACGGCAAGTCACATTCTCAACTAACAGAATGATGTTGACAGATGATTAGTGTTGATGATGGTGTATTGTGGACTAGATTGATAGAAATCTTAAATATAGATTGTTAAATTAATTGAATTATGTCGAATTAGGACTGGTGAATTGATTGATCAATTTTCTTAACTTTATGCCTCAATTGAAAAAAATTAGTTTGGTGACAAAATAGAAGCACCCTAATGGTTGGATGACCAGAAGGTAATTTACCCTTATGTTGATTATTTTTGGTCAATTGACATGGTTTTGTTTGACTGCCTTTGACAACTTTTCAAGTCGGAAAGAAATGGCTAAAGGAATTGGGCGGCCTAGCATTTCTAAGTTTTGTAGCTCTCTTTATTCAAATCTAAATAAACTGATTTGGTAAATTCAATTTTGAGTAATTTATTTTTTTGTGATTAAATTAATTATCGATTATTAAAATTCATAATTAACTTGGTCAATTTAATATATTAATTTGAATTACTTTAATATATAATATGTAATATGCTGAGTATTTTATATTGTTTTGTTTTGTTTAATTCATTATAAATTTTTAGGGCATATTTGAATTCTAATGTACAATTGTATGAAAGTGTAAGTACTACCTTAATGATTATGTTGTAATTATTTATGTATGATTGAAAAATTGACCCAAGTCTTACATGTTCTAATCTAATGTTATAGGGTTATTAAAAAAAGGGTTTGTGTTGGGTCGAGTTTAGTAAAGGGAAAGATCGAATCGGGTCGAGATTGAATTTAGGGTGAAAAAATCTTCGATTTGAACTTACTCAAGACAATATTATAATTTTCATATGTATATATAGGGATAATTGCTATAATGTCATTGTCTCTATATTTTTTTCCAATTAAGTTTCTATTTTGTCGAATAAAAAATAAGATTATTTATATATATTTGTGTTGAATTGAGTCAGGCCAGATATATTTTCTATTCTAAAATTTAGGCCGAGTTTCAGATCGAGTGAGACCTCCCTAAACATGATCAAGTCAGGCGAAGAGAGTATGCTTCTCGAACCTGGTTAGATTAACCAAAAACCTAAATCAACTCATTGTCATCTATGTACTTATGTCATATTTGATAGTATATATTATACTTACACGGTTATATAATTTTAAATTTTAAATAATATTAAGCATAAAATTAAAGTATTATACGTAATAATATTTTTATCACCTTTTCTTTGATAATTACAATATTGTAATTAGAGGTCTTTAGTTGCATCTAGTTTAATAAAATCTATGAATTATGATAATCGTTTAAACATACTTCAAACATTTTCATGTATCTTTCATTAATATAAAATCAAACTTGAAGAATAAGGGGTTTTTAGGCTTAAGTTCCAATCGTTACCTACTTATTCCAAGCAATGATAGGTGACCTAATTTCCTAAGTTGACCCAATTAGGAATTTATTTATAATTATTAAAACAACATCAATAATAATAAATTAAACACCAAACCTAGTTATTATTTTTCAACATATAGAAAACAAACAATGATGTTTGGGCCTGTCATAACCATTTTTGTAGGTGGAACAATTATTTATTGTTTTAAAAAACAGTTACGACTTTAATTTTGGAAAATTGAGTGATTTTGGATTAATTTGAATTAAATTGAAAAGAGTCGCCATCGACCTTTGGGTTAGGTAGGTCGAATACCTAAAAACGTCTTTTAAAAAAGAATTTTAAGAAAAATAATTTTTAAGACAAAAATAGTATGTGTTTACCAAAAATCATATTAAAACGGGTTCGGGAGTCGGTTACGCGTGGAGAAGGATAAGCACCCCCACAACGCTCAAAATCGGTACTGTGTCGCTTACACGTTGTCGTAAATGGTAGAAATGATAAATCGAATATAAAATTGAATGATGATCCATTTATTGAGATTTAATTAAATTGCCTTGAATTAATTATGTAACACCCTCAGACCGATGCGGGTAACCCGATCCGATCTGGAGTGTCACATCAGGGCCACCGGAGTGACCCATTATAAAAATAGCGGACAATTTAAAAATTTTATTAAAACATGTAACTTATAAATGATTTATCAGTATGCAGAGATAAAACAGATTTTCAGACTTGTATATAAAACAAAATACAATTACATGCCCCCTAATCACATGCACCATACTCTGCAACAACGCCGGAAGAACTCCCTTACTGATGTTGATAGTTGCACTGGTACAATTCTTTTAACCTTCAATGTTGAGTAATAGAGTGAGCTTCGAAAAGCTCAGTAATACAGAACTACCAGATGATGGTGAAGAACTTGCAGATACAGACAAACATACATTTCCTTATTGGTTCAGATATCTACAGAATTTTAGGCTGAGTTGAGGTCCATTGATATCGCAAGTAGTAACAGATAGTACTCATTTCAGATGGAAATATTTCGGATGTCTAGGTTCAGGAGATCAGAATAGGTTTGCTAGTGTGTTCCCGTAAAACCAGAAAAAAAGATACAGATCTTTTAAAATATATATATATATATATACCCCCATCCGTTCACATCATAAATATGTAGGTTTCCCAGAACCATACACCCAACCACACATGCCATTTAGACCCTGAGCACAAAGCCGAGGAGTCTACAAATAATCTTCATCCAACAATAAACCCTCGGATAAAACATTTCTCCGTCGATAAACAGAGATATCAAAAATCAAAACATAATTCAGATCAGATATCATAACAGAATCCAGGTTAGGAATCAGAACAGATTTCAGATCAGATGTCAAAACAGAATTCAAATCAAAAATCAGATAAAATATTCATATAAGTAGGGAACACACTAGAGTTTCCAGATATTATTTAGAGATACAAGATAATCTTCTCGGGCAGAGAAACACAAATCTTCAGTTTACCAATAGAATGCCGGAAATTAGAATCACTATTAGAAGAGTTTGTTAACTGACAAAATCATCAGTTATTCATAATATGCTTATCATGATCATCTTATTCGGACATTTATCGGAAGCTCTACGTAATCAGAAGGGTATTCAAAATCCTTTACATATGAGTTGCTTATGTTTTCATACATGACCAGAGTGATTTGAGCTGATAAGGAATAACGAAGATTCAGGAACTTTACAATCTATGTCGATTGATCAAATTATCGAACAACTCCAGATGACTAGCTCCCAGAACTAATACTTGTCAACTTGTCAAATTCATTAACCTTCCAGGGTATTTACTCTTTAATACCAAATATTCTTATCTATAGATCACCTTCTAAGTCATCACTCAACAGATCTTAAGGAGACTAACAGATATTCTAATGGTCTTTATTTTATTTCCATGTTTCAACTATATCAGGAAATGTCGACGTACTTGATTTATGGTTCATAATCCATAGGGATGATACATCACGTAAGTTCATCCGAGTTTTCAGGCTTATTCCAATCTCTTACTTAATCCTCAGTACTTGAGGTTACTTAGTTCATTTAATATTCAAGTCCATTCCAATTACTTTGGGATTTTCCAGAGTAATTCAAACGTTACTGAATTTCAGATACATGTTGTACTTCCGTTCCATTCAATTTGGTCTTTGTGGTTGATTTGTCGAACAAACGTCCAATTCTTAGTACTGAATGCGAGCTAGAGTTGAGCTGAGCTGAATACTTCCAAAATTTATCATCGAGCCAAACTTGAGAATACGAACATGTATTCCAGTAATATCTATGTCATTCAGGTATTGACATAGCTTTAGGGTTGATCTACTCACTTAAATTGTGTTCCATTACTTTTAAAGGTAGTACAATACCTATGCTTATTTGGATTCCTTAATTAATCCAAGACATTTACTTAGTTTAGGCCATAAGATTATTTTGGTAATTTTGGTGTTCAGTTTCATTCCATTCATTTCAGAGCTCGAGGATATCCAATCATTCCTGAGCTTGGTGATATTCTTGGGTCATTTCCATTACAGGGGTATTTTGGTCATTCTACATATCCGATGTATTTCAATCACTTCCTTCCATCATGTCTTATTATTTAATTCCAATTTATCATCTATTTCAGTCCCTTCGAACAATTCTGATAAAAGAGCACCCAATAAATTGTTCTTCAGGTATTTACTCGTAACTCGGATATTTTTGAGTCAAATGCCTTCTCATATTTTTACCAACGGAATATCAAGAATTTTTCTGCACTAAGTCAGGATCTTAATAATCAAATTCGTACTTAATCAAGTTAAGTACAAATCCTCGAAGTACTTTCTCATTCAGGGTCTACTCGGACTATTTTACCTCTCAAGGGCATTTTCGTAATTTCTTAACCAGATAATTTCATTATTAGCTCTTAACGAAAATAATATAATTTAGAGATCCTATGATTAATTTCTTTCTTGAACACTCTCTAATCTTGAAATGATTCCCTTAACAGACTTCTAGTATCCTTCACAAACCCTCATAGGATTAAAAACCGATTATCCATAATTTCCAAGTAAAACTAACATTTCTTATGCACATCAATATTTTTATCAGATCAATATATCTGTAAAACCTCTTATCCAACTTCCATATTCAAATCTTTTCTTTTTATAACATAGGGGTATTTTCGTAATTTTACCCTACCGAAGTATTCTCATAATTTCTCATCCAAGTACCTTTAACATTTAACCTTTAATGACATATATTATAAGCTACAAATCCATGATAATTCCTTTATCACTAATCACAGAACTCATAATATAATTCTAACAATCCATCAATTTCTTATATTAATCAACTGAACCATAATTAGTTGCCAAATTTCTAATGTATTCGGATCGAGTGTAGTAATTCATTAACTACACAAATGAGACAAACATTATCTTATTCATTCATTTACCAATATTCACATGTTCCATAAAGTATAAAGAGGTAGTAAAGTATTACCTCGATTTCCGTGTAATACTGATCGACCATTAAATTCCATTCGAACGCCCTCGATCTTAAAATCTTACAATATTTCCTCGGATCCATATCAACATAAATTACATAAAAAACGGAGCTTAATTCTGAAAAACGGATCGAATCGGATGATAAATCAGTGAAAAACAGCTTATCGGGTTCAATTTTGGCAAAACGGACTTCGGATTCAGGACGTCGAAAACATAAAATATGACTTTTCAAAAATTTTGAATTTTTGGTCAAAATCAAAGTTAACGTGTTTGACTGGAAATTTGGAGGCCTTCGGGTCTGAATTTCGAAAAACGGACTACGGAATCGGATTCGAAACGTCAAAAAACATCAGGATAGGTATACTCGGTCAAAGTCAAAGGTCGTTTAATGCCCGGTCAACGCCGGTCAAAGTTCTGGTCAACTGTGGTCAACGCCGGTCAACAGTCAATGGTCAACAGTCGACCATTTTACACAAATATCACCTAACATAAATTAATTACAAAATTAGTCTCCTTCTGCAAATATTTACGAAACTAACACCCGAATTTTACATAAATAGCAACCAAACAGAAATTAATTACAAAATTAACACCCAGACGATGCCCACTCTAGGGAGGTGGTGCGTGCAATGCGTGAACAGTAACCCAGTATCGAAAAATTCCCGAAAAAAATTCTAAAAATTATTTTAAGCGATTTTGAGGCACTTACAAAGCTCGGTTCACAATTTTGAACGGCGGAAAGATCGATTCTGAAACATCGGAAACTTTGACGGTCTCACCCCTGCACGCGCCGGCGATGACGGAGAAACGGAGAACACCAGTGGACTCGGAACGATGCAAGGAACTCGATGGTGCAGGAGGTGTCGAAAACAGATCGTCGGATCGTCGTGAATCGACGAAAAACCAACTGAAATCAAGTTATTACCTATGATACTTTCGACTGAAATTAACGACAAACGACGACGATTCAAGACGAAAGGTTTGAGGGGTTTTGTTCCTCGTTCGACAATGAACACAATGGTGGTTTCAGTTCGTCAATCAGAGGTCGGACGACGAGTAGATCCGAGTTGAAAGGAGGGTTGTTTGAGAGGGAAAACTGTAATTTTTTTCCTGCTGAACCTACGCACGGGGGAGTTTATAATTCAACATATAAAATGGTTAAATCATGGGTTTAGCCACTGAATTTCATGTACTTCTTAAAATGGTCTGTCAACTTTGAAATTTTATAATTTAATCCACCGTTTCTTTAAAAATACCAATTAAATTCACCACTTTAAAATTCCTAAAATTTAGCCCCTAAATTGGGGTGTTACAAATTAAAGAAAATTCATTAGCCTGAAAAGAGATTCCGAGATTTGCAATCCTCCGTTGAGAAAGTTATCTCAACTATTTATTGTCCGTAAAGAATCTTCCCTCTTCAAATAAAAAGTACAAATCGAATATAAATTAAATATAGACAATTTGTATAAAATAAATTACTATTTACAACAATACTCTTTGCATCATTTGAATTATAATAGAAAAAAATTAATTAGTAAAATAGAAATTGATTTATTTCAAATTTTCCTTTCGTTCGAATGTTGTATTAAATCACACATCCTCTGTAAGGTGGTACTTTTCACACCCATTCTACGACAAATGTTCTTGAAAATAATCGAAGGGCATATCGAGTGAAATTTAATTAATATATCAACATATCGTAATAAACAACATATACATATATAAATATGTAAAGTAAAATTAACATAATACACATACATGTATACTCATACATAAGGGACTAAAATAAAAACAAATAAATATTACAAACCGAAATAAAATGAGCAAAAAGTAAGTATTTGAAATTACAAGGATCAAAATAGAGAAAAACATAAAATTGATGTACTAAAATAGCAAATACAGGAATTTAAGGGACTAAATAGCAAATATAGAAACTGAATGGTTAAGTAATTATAAATAAAACAGAACCTAGATTGAAAATATTAAATAAAACGGGTACTAAAAATGAAAATAACCCATAGATAATTTAAAGGACTAAAATGAAATAAACAAAAAGATAAAGGGCTAAACAATAATTAAACCAAAATATCAAACAGTGACTAAAATAAAGCATTTAATATGATGGCCAAATTCAAAAATTAACAAACATTGCAATATAAATATACTAGTGACTTAAATGTAAACGATAGAAAAGTAAAGGTTCGAAACAAAATAATACAAATTTACATTAATGGTTAAAATAAACTTTTATCAATGATGAGGGACCTCAATAGTAATTAACCCATAACAATACAAAAGACAAGGTTGAGATTGCAAAAGGTAAAGGACTAGAACTAATATTAGCCCTTTTTCCCAAAACGCGTTGAACCCTCCCCTTTCGAAATGACAACGTTTTGATGCTAGAATATAAGGCCAAAATTAAGGCCTCAAACCGATAATCTCCCATTTCCTTTTTTTTTCATCCAAAGTAGAGAGAGAGAAAGAGGAAAATCCTCTCAACTCTCTCCTCTGAAAGGAGAGAATCTGCCATCGGCGGTGACGCCCGCTGCGGCACTCATGACGGAGCACGGTGGCCGAAGATAAAGCAACCCAAAAGCTTCCTCTCTCCAACCTCGACTTGAAAACCTTCCCATTTTTTCGAAAACAAACCTCCTAATACCCTAAATATAAACTATAACCCTCTATTCGAACCCTAGATCTAAAAAAGGTGAAGGTTTTACCTTCGGTGGGGTTGTTTGCACTCCGGCGAGGTTGTTAGGGACATGATCTACACGGTGAGTTTCTCTTTTCCCCCATTTCTCTCTTAGTTCTCTATTTTTCCTTTTCGAATCGGTTCCTCTCTGATATCTTTTTTCTGGAAAACCCCCGAATCATCTTTTTTCTAGAAAACCCCCGGATCACCCCTATAATTTTCCTCTCGATTTTTTCTTCCCCCTTATTTGGTTCGAATACCCCCCAATTTATTTCTTTTTTTCTCCTCCAAATCCCCTTATCCTCTTGCATATTAATTTCTTTGTGTTTGGTAAGATAATAACATGTTTAGGTGAAATCATTTGGTATTTTTTCGGGGGTTAGGTATATTAATTTATCTTTTGACTTTGGCTGGTTTTTTTTTTAATTTTGCTTCTCTTTTGCATTGTTTGACCACTCTTGATGACGACGACGGTTCAACTTTCTCGGTGGTGATTCGACAGTGTTCAGCGTGACTCACACGCGTGGCAGCTGGATGAAGAAATGTTGGCAGTGGTGGTTGACTATTTTAGGGTTTCAAATCCCTAATTACACTGGGTTGGGTCGGATCCAGGACTGGGTCGGGTCGGATCCAGGCCTGGTTCGGGTCGGTTCGAATCCCGAGTATGGTATTAGGCTTCAATCGGGCAGCTGTTGTGATTGGGCTTCTGGGGCTTGTTAAGTTTTGGGTTTGGACCTGTAAAACATGTAAATTAGTTAATAATAGTAATAATAATAATAATAATTAATAATATTTTTTGACCCGGACAAAAACGGGTGTCTATAGGGCCTATAGGGCAATAGTCGAGCTAAAATAACTTGTCAAGAATTGGATTCGAATCCATGCCCTTTCGGACCATTACCTAAAACTGGCGCCTTAGACCAACTCGGCCATCTTAACCCTGTTATCTCGAGTTCAGATATGACGTATTTATTCTAAGCCTGAGATAAAAGCATTAGAAGACAAAAAGTGGGGGGAAATTAAAAAAAACTATGTAGACAAAAAAATTAGAGAAACGTGGCTAATAGAAAATTTATGGTATTTGTTATAGTGATTTAGAATTGGTGAGTTTTATAAAATATATTAGCATAACGAGTTTTATAAATGAATTTTATAAAAAAAAATTATTAGAACGTGTCATGTCATTATGACAAGTTTTAATAAAAATTTATATTTTATTAAATTCATCATGCCCTCGAAATTTATTTTATATATTAAAATAATAAAAATGTAATTGTTTTATTTGGATAGTTAACCTTAAAATATGTATTTAAATTTGAATTAATTAATTAAATTAATTATTTTTATAACGTTATAAAAATAACAATTCACGTCATATTAAAGAAATTATTATCATTCAAAATTAAATATATTATCTTTTATTAGTTTGAGGTGAATATAAGATAATATTTGTTCGAAAGACACTCATCTATTTGATAGAAAGACACTCATCTATCTGATAATGAACGCTCATATAACTTGCAGATGTTATGTTCGAACTCGAGACCTCAAAAGATAACAACAAACTACTGAGGTCATTTGGTTTGTGTTTTTTATATTATATTATTTTGTTTAATTCATAATATATCTTTAGGGTATATTTGAATTTAAATGTATAATTGTATAAAAATGTAATTACTATCTTAATTTATGTAAGCTTATTAATTTGATCTAAATTTTATTAATTTCGATTCGAATTTATATGATCATTTTAAAAATATCGAGTTAAAGTCGGGTTAAA